TCAGTAAATATCTAGAGGTGGGATTGCTAGGCCATATAGTCAGAGTATGTTAAACTTTGTAAGAAACTGACAAACTAATTTGCAAGGGATATGTGCCATTTTGCATTCTCATCAGCAATATATGAGAATTCCAGTTGCTCTGCATCCTCATCAGGTTTTGTCAACATTATCAATGTTAGCCATTTAAATAGGTATGTGGTGATATCTCATTGTGGTATATATTTTTATATCTCCAATGACTAATGATGTTGAGCATGTTTTTAATGTGCTTATAGTCATCTCTAAATAATTTTTGGTGAAATGTCTATTCAAGTATTTTACCCATGTAAAAAACTTTATTATCTTATTAATTTTCTTATTGTTGAGTTTTAAAAGTTTATTGTATATTCTAGAAACAATTTCTTGTCAGGTGTGTGGTTTTCAAATATTTTCTCCCAGTCTGTGACTTGTCTTTTAAGTCACTTAACAGTATCTTTTGCAGAGGAAATACTTATAATTTTAATGAAGTCCTATTTATTATTTTTTTCTTGAATTGATAATGCCTTTGGTGTTGTATTTTAGACTAATTGCCAAGCCCAAGGTCACAAAGATTTCTCCTATGTTTTATTCTAAAAGTTTGTATAGCTTTGTGTTTCATATTTAGGTTTATGATCTATTTTGAACTAATTGTTGTATAAGGCGTAAGCTTCAGATATAAGTTAATTTTTTTTCGCAAATGGATGCATACGGTTCCGTTGGCCATTTAGGGTTTTCTTTGGCCCAAAATTAATTGGTCATATTTGTGTGAGTCTACTTCTGGACTCTGCATTTTGTTCTATATGTTCTATATATTTGATCTATATTTTTATCCCTTTTTTTGGAGGTAACCACTATTACTCCTGCGTATTTTTCCAGAGATATTCTATGCATATGTAACTATATATGTAAGTATATTTATTTGTTTTTCTTTTTTGAGCCTATTGAAATAGTCACATAATTTAAACATAGTTTTACACTTTGTGTTTTAAAAATTTAGCCTTATATCATAAAAGGGGTCTATGTCAGTTCAGTCCAATTAGAACTATCTCATTTATTTTAATGATTGCATAAAATTCCACTGTGTGAGTATAACATAATTAACTTATTTTTTGACACATCTGCCTCTGTTATTGGATAATGACTTTAAAACAATTGTTTAGCCTGGATAATTTTTAAAAAAATTGTAGCGACGTGGTCTCACCATGTTTCTCAGGCTGGTCTGAATCTCCTGGGCTCAAGTATTTCTCCTGCCTCAGCTTACCAAAGTGCTGGCTTACGGGTGTGAGCCACTATGCCCGGCCAGCCTTTTATTTTTATAGCAGCCCTAGCAAGCTAATACATTTACTATAATCAGGTTTTCTAGAACTTGCTGCAAAAAAATAGTCCCAATTCATGTGATGGGCAAGGTCAGATATATATATATATATATATGCACACACACACACATACTCGTGTGTGTGTGTGTGTGTGTGTGTGTATTGAGTATCCATAAAACAAAATGCTCCAAAATCAAAAGCTTTTTGAGCACTGACATGATGGTTAAAGGAAATGCCCATTGGAGTATCCTGGATTTTAGATTTTTAGATTAAGAATGTTCAACCAATAAGTATAATGCAAATATTCCCAAGTCTGAAAACATCCCAAATCCCAAACACTTCTGCTTCCAAGCGTTTTGGATAAAGGATACTCAGCCTTTACACACACAAACACACACACACACACACACACACACACACACACACACACATTCTCTCTCTCTTTCTCTCTCTCTCACACACACACACACACACACACACATTCACACACAGGCATATCCAACCCTATTCTTCTCCCTTTAGTGGTTTCTGGGCTGATGATTTTCAGTGTGATTGCAGGGATATTGGATTTCAAGGCTACTGTTGAGCTGAGGAGAGCGGTACGGGAATAAGGTTGGTTAAAATGCCTCAAAGCTCACTCTTTTACAGAAACTCAACCATTTTTCTTGAATAAGAAAATCCCCAGATTTCTGAAGGCCCTTGGTTAATTTCCAGGGTTCTTAAAATGTTGATTCTGACAAATTATTTTCCAGTGTTCTCATTGCTTCTATGGAGAAAATTTTTGGAGATCTTTATTTCACCATTCCTACTGATGTCACTTGGGAGATTTTCATAAAACAGGTTTCTTTCCTGCATATTTTATTCTTTCTAAGTTTGGGTTCCATTATTTTCATTTTGTTTGTTTTCTTGTTTAATTTTGGAGGTCTTTCTCAAATTTATTCATTCATTCAACAAATATTAGGTGTCTAAAAAGTGTCAGATACTTCATGTGAACAAAATTAAAACGAAGACCATACTATCATGGAGTTTAAATTCTAGTGGAATGTAATAATATAATGTTAGATGATGTCTGCTGAGTGCTGTAAAGAAAAGTAAGGCAAGTTATGGAGAACAAGAGAGAGATGCAGATGTTGTTTACTGATAGGTACAAAGGTACTGACATAAAATGATATTTGATATAATTAAACAGCCAGAAGACCAGTGTAAATTGAGTGTACTGAGCAAAGGGAAGAGTAGTAAGAAGTGGATTTGGAAAGGAAAGGCCCTTGTGGGCTTGGAAATGGACTTTGGCTTTTACTTTGATCAAGGGAGGAACCCACTGGAGGCTTTTTGTAAAGAAGAGTGACATCATTCGGATATGCCTCAAAAGTCCAACCAATGGTTCTGTTGAGAATGGACTGTAAAAGGGTGAGGGTGGAAGATGGGAAACCAGTTGTGAGACTGTTGCAACAATCCAGGTGAGAGATAAAGGTGGCCTAGGTGAGGGTTGTGGAAATGGAGGTGATGATAAATAGTAGGATTCAAATATCTCATGAACCTTGGCTGTCTGTATGTATTTAAAAGTGAGGCACAGAAGCATTTACTGAAAATCTGTCTGTGGTTGAAGATTGTTGACTGGTAGTCTACAATGAAGAGTGGTTAGACAAGGAGCCAGACTTTTCCACTGGGACCCTCAAATATCATATGTAAGTATGTAGACATCTTTTTGGCTCAGATAGGTCATTTTCCTCAACAATATTCCTTCCATATCTTGGAGCAAGTTGGGAGATAAGCTTGGTGGAGAACTTGGGAACGAAGGTGGGCCCAGCCTCACAGGTTCAGGAGCAGACATTCAAGACATCTCCTTGTTTTAAGCTATAAGACTTACCCCCTGCTCACCAGCATAGCTGGTGTCTTTTAAACCCTTGACATCTTCATTTAATATCAACTTCATTTAATGTTTCCAGAAATAAAACTTAGTTTCTTTCCTGGATGCTTACGATGAGGGTGGGAACCTCAGAGAATATTTAGTCCATATACAGATATTCACCCAATGTCCTATTTTCTGCTCTGCACTTCAGACCTGCCTTATTGGTGCCTCTCAGGTTTTAAAGAGCAAATCAACTGGCTATGTTCTGCAGCCTTCTCTGTAGGCATTTAAAGTTGTAGCATTCTCCTCTCTGTTTTACTTCCAAAAATTGTTGAAGTTTTTCACCCAATGATGTCTTCTTTCTTAATCTTTTGGGTCTTATGTGTTTGTGCCTCTTAAAAATTCATTTGCTGTCATTTTGGGAACACTTGGGAGGGAAAGGAGATAGATACGTGCTGTCAACCGCATCTTTAACCAGGTAAATATAATTTGTTCACACTCAATACGACCCTCTGTATATTTGGATTTCCTTTCCCTACACTGAGAACCATTGATACATTGGGCATCTAGCATCGAATTTTAGGGTTCTACTTTAGTGACAAACAGACATGAGTTCGATTTCCACTTACACTATTTACTAGTTGTGTGATCATGGACAAATCGCCTAAGTTGCTTGGGCTGCAATTTCTTCATGTTTAAAATATTATATGTGTGTGTGTGTGTGTATACATAGATACATGTATATGTATTAATTATTCACATCCATTTTAAACATGAAGAAACTGAGGGTTCTGGGGATCTGTTGTATAGCACAATCATTATGGTTAATAATGCCATATTGTTTGCTTGAAATTTGGTAAGAGAGCAGATCTCAAATGATCTTTTTTTTTTGTATGTACTAGATTAAACTAGTGCAATTTTATTAAATTTTGGGATATACATTTTCAATTTGCTACTGTAACAAAGGGAATTAGACAATACATTCTGTCATATTGTTCATAAACTTCACAACGAGACTATGATAGTGCCATGGAAGAGAAGAGTTTCAGTTTTAATTCCACTTTACAGCTAATAACCAGTATTTATGGTTTCTCATCTGTCAAGCACTATTCTAAGCTCTTTTAAAATATTCGGTCTTCACAGTCCTATAGGCCATTATCTCCATTTTACAAAACAAAGATTCAAGTAAATTATCCAAGGTTACAGAGCCACTGCTGCAATCAGGCTTTAAATGTTTCTATGCACTGGTCTTAATCACTGCCTCTTAAATCAGATGCAGGCCAGTACCCAGCACCTAGGAGGATGTGTGAATACCTCCTATTCACTCAACCTGACCTTGTCTTTAGTGCTTCTCTGTCGGTCTTAAAATTCCTCCTGCACCCCTGCCTCCATCTGCAGATCTTCAAGGTAAACCTTTCCACTTTTACCATAAGTCCAAATCCTTGTTTCCTCTGAACTGGTTCCAGCCTTTAAAATGCCCTATTCCCCACATGTTAAAAATATAAGAAGCCCTCACTGTGGTACCTGTTAGCCTTTTATGTCATGGTACCCTAATCAAGGCAGGCCAATCACCTCCAACACAGCTGCTCCAACTTACCTCAGTTTATACTTACTATTCCAAACTGCCTCTGCTGCCACTTGAGCTCACTCTTGCACATCCTTTCCAACTGCATACAGCAGTCTACACCACAAACTCATGTTTGATTTCATACAATCTCGTTGCTTTCTTGTTCTGCCCGCTGTGGGCTTAACCATACCCTCCTCTACTACTTAGTATAAACCCTGCTCCCAGGCCTCCATTAACTTGCACACTCAAGCTGATTACATACATATATTTAACAGTACAGTTTTACACAGAATGCTAAGAGCACTTTTCTTCATATTTTACAGAAGGGCTTGAAACATACGGACTTTCTATTAGTAACCATACGATAGCACATCCAAATCTAATTCCTAAATAGATGATGCATGATAATTTGTTTGGAATTTAAAGGCTTAATGGCAATAATCAGGGAAGGAAAAGTTTATTTCACACAACTGACCAAAAAATAAATTCAAGAAATAGTGAATAGAATTTAATATGGTCTCATGCGCCCTGAAGGAGGGGGTGCCCGATTTGGAGGGGTAATTGCTATGTCCAAGTAATCTCCTATCTGGAACTTCTGTGACTGCAGCGTCATGGAATCATCAGTCCCCTTTCTGCCAGACATGGTGCTGCCAATCTCCTTAACTCGATAACCAGGTCTTTTAACAACTGTAAAAACGATTGCAAAATTGAAGTGAGTGCCCTTCTTTCTAGCTTCTGGGTAGACTTCTTTTACTAAGCTTGTCAGTTCTTTCAAGGTTGCATCCATCCAAGTGTAGATCTGCAACTTGCTGGACGGTACGTTTCACCGGGAGAACTCGTCCATTCGGTGGTGGCAGCCGTTGTTGGTGGTGAAGACCCGCAGCAGCAGCGGGCATGTCTTCTCGCGGTCGATTGGCTTCTCTGGCTCCTTCTTAATTTCCTCCTGGGTAACGCGCGATTCCACCGCCATCTTCCTCCTACGGCCCGCGAGACGCTCCTCAAATGATCTTAAGACACACACATAATGACAACTATGTGTGGCAAATGATGTGTTAATTAATTTGATTTTGGTAATTATACAATATACACATATATGAAATCATGTTGTATACCTTGAATCTATACCATTTTTATTTGTCAATTATACCTCAATTGAGTTGGAAAAAAATTGGAGTGATTATTATACCACATTAAATAGATGTTACAAATGCCTAATGTGCTAAACTATGTAATAGTTTAGCTTAATATGCTAAACTATCTCTTACCACAGGCTGATCCATGCTCAATAAATAGTATATATTTCACTTAGCATAATGACCTCCAGTTTCATTCATATTGTTGCAAGTGAAGGGCCAAAAAAGACAAACATGCCATGTTCTCACTTATTTGTAGGATCTAAAAGTCAAAACAATTGAACTCATAGACATAGAGGGTAAAAGGATGATTACCAGAGGCTGGGAAGGGTAGTGGGAAGGTTGAGGTGAAGTGGGGATGGTTAATGGGTACAAAAAAATAGAAGGAATGAATAAGATCTACTATCTGATAGAGCAACAGGATGACTATAGTCAATAATAAATTAATTGTACCTTTAAAAATAACTAAAAGAGTGTAATTGAATTGTTTGTAATACAACAATTTGTTTGTAATACAATAAATACTTGAGAGGATGGACACCCCATTTTATGTAATGTGATTATTATACATTGCAGTCCTGTATCAAAACATCTTGTGTACCCCATAAATTTATATACCTGTAAAATTAAAAATAAAAATTAAAAAAAATAAACTTCTTATCTAAACTCATCCTTCTGCTGGGAGGGAGAATAATTTGGTGGGCATGAGGTGTGCTTACATTCCTTAATCTATGATGCCTTAAATTGTGTCTGTTTATAAATAAAAGAAGATCTTTTCAGTAGGAGGTATGAAGATTGCCTAGTTAATCTTACCACATAGTGAACACTGATCATCTTTTTCATTTGGTCGTTCATTCTTTACTTTATTCATTTAACATTTGCTGAGCTCTTACCATATGCCAGGCACTACAATAGATGCTGGGAGACAGCACAGGCAACACTCAGCAAAGCAGTTAAACAGGGTTCTTGTCTTCAAGGATATAGCAGTCCAGGGGTAGATAGACAAGGAAGGGTGATTTTGAAACAATGTAATTGTGCTATGATGCAACAGGTGATGTTGTGATTCAGTAACTGTTTGATGTCTCTTTTTCACTATAAAAAGACGTCGTCTATCTTTTTTATTGCTATTGTCCTGGTGTCTAACATTGTTCTTGGCACATGAGAGGTGCTAGATAAAACTTTTTTATTGAAAAAATGATGTGTAATGAAAATCTTTCTTTGATAAATGTACATAGAAAATGCTGTATTGACAATTTTACCTTTAAATCTTTTTGTCTTTTTCTTTTTTTATTTTTGAGACGGAGTTTTGCTCTTGTTTCCCAGGCTGGAGTGCAGTGGCGTGATCTTGGCTCCCTGAAACCTCTGCCTCCTGAGTTCAAGCGATTCTCCCACCTCAGCCTCTCGAGTAGCTGGGATTACAGGTGTGCACCACCACACCCAGCTAATTTTATACTTTTAGTAGAAACGGAGTTTCTACGTGTTGGCCAGGCTGGTCCCAAACTCCAGACCTTAAGGTGATCCACCGGCGTCAGCCTCCCAAAATGTTGGGATTACAGGTGTGAGCCACAGTGCCTGGCCATTACCTTTAATTCTTGAGAGGAAAGCATTCTTGCAAAGTGTGTGTGTTCAGTGAGTAAGTGAGTGGTTGAATATTTGGCAAAAGGTGAGCCAAGGATAAGAGTAAGTACAGCACAGTTCAACAAATATTTTCCTGAGGGCCAACCCTGTGCCAGCCATGGTGTAGGGTATGGAGGATACAGAGATGAATAAGACATAGCTTTTGCCCTTAAGGATCTCCAAGTCTAGCTTGAAGACAGACATGTGAACAGTGAATCACAGTGCAATGTGATAAAGGCCATAAATAAAACTCAGATCAGATATGAATCCTAAGCTTGAGGGCTTTGGGTAAGGCTAGAGCCATTAAACATGATCCTGAAGACATGTTCCATTTTCTACAATAAGATTCAGTGGGAAACAATTGCTCAGGGAATCTATTATATATTTTTCAGAGAAAGTATGGAAATCACATTATCGTTAATGGCAATAGAATAGAGAAGAAAATAGAACGAAGAGCAGTATCTAAATAAGCTATCATTATATATGAAATAGAGTCACTTAGTGGTTAAGTGATGTTTGTTAGGAAGTTATCTTGGCAGTTGCTTTTGTAAAAAGAAGATCAAAAGCATACCAAGAATGCCAGTTAATGCCATCATTATTTACTTAGTACAAATTTACAGGAAAATGTGTTTATGAAAATAAAATATCATCTAAAGAATTGAGAGTGATTTTCATCTTTATTGTTGTGTATCACTTTTCCTTTAAAAAGCAAACAAACCTATTTATCACTTTACTATAGGAAACAGTGACTGAATTAATAAAGAAGGTATACTAAGTAAGAAAAATAAATAACTATGGCTTAGAAGTCACTGCTACATCCAAACAACAAGTAGAAAACTAAAAAAAACTAACACATCTTTTTAGATCCATCAGAGAAGTGAGATCATAGGGCAAACTGCTGCAACAAAAGTAGAAGAGACAAGCAGACACAGAGAATCATAACTTACCAGAGCAGAAACCCAAAGGAGGAACCTCCCCAGAAATCAGTTCTGGGGTAGGAAAGCCTTAATCATAATTGAAAAATTGCTGGAGGCTCAGTGTGGACAACTTTCAGAGCTAAAAACCAGGGGGATCTAGTCATAGAGAGACCTATGTTTTGTGAATTTTACCGCCAGGCGTTCTACATGTCCTCACAGTGAATATTTGGGAAAAATCCTTTTTTTCTTCCAGTAGGCGTTAAGGGGAAAGAAACCATTTTGAGATACACCAGAGCATTCTGTTCTTCACAAGGCCAGTCCTCAGAAGAAGCTATTTTTTTCACCAATGTAACCTGCTGGGGTTATATCAAAGCCTAACCTACCTGGGAGAAGAGAAATACTCAGCTCCAGTTCCAGCTCCCTCTAGCTTTCCTCATGTGAAAAAAGAAATACCGGACTCCAGACCCCTCCAGCCATCTTGTCCCACCTAAGAGTTGCTGGGCGATGGTGGAGGAAGGAAGCATGATTGAGAAACACTGGTGAAGTTCACAGACCAGGGGTGCAGGCTCACCAAAAGAGTGAGACTTAATCATAGGATTATAGAATGCTTTCCCTCCTCTCACACCTTACCACTACATTACTAAAGGCCTGTTTCCTACTGTTCCTTTTATCCAGTACATCATGTCCACTTTTCACCAAAAAACTGTGAGGCATACTGAAAGGCAAAGCAGAAACAAAAATGAAACCACAGTTTGAAGAGACTGAACCAACATCAGAACTAGGATCAGATATGGCTGGAATGTTGGAATTATCAGATTAGGAATTTAAAAAAATAGACAACATGCCAGAACAGATGGATAATGTAAACAGAGAGCTAGAAATTCTAAGAAGGAATTTAAAAATGCTCAAGATAAAAAACTATAACAGAAATAAAGAATGCCTTTGATGGGATCATCACTAGACTAAACACAGTGAGGAAAGAATTTGAACTTGGGGACATGGTAATAGAAACTTCCAAAACAGAACAAAGACTGGGGAAAAGATACAGTACAAAATATCTTTAAAAATGTGAGACAATTACAGAAGGTATAGTATGCATAATGGAATACCAGAAGGAAAAGCAAAAGGCAAAGGAATAGAAGCAATGTTTGTAGCAATAATGACTAAACAAAACAAAATAAAACAAGCCTACACCTTGGCGTATCATATTCAAACTGCAGAAAATCAAAGATAAAGCAAAAATCTTGAATGAATCCAGAGAAACCACCTTAACCCTAGAGGGGCAAAGATAAGAATTACATCTGATTTTTCCTCAGAAACCAGTCAAGCAAGAACAAGGAAAAATAAAATTAAACATTTAAAGTGTTGAGAGAAGAAGGCTCACCAACCTAGAATTCCTTACCTTGCCAAATGATCCTTCAAAAGTGGAGAAATAAATACATACTCAGAAAAACAAAAATTGAGGGAATTTATGTCAGTAGACCTGTCTTGCAAGAAATGTTAAAAGAAGTTCTTCAGAGAGATGGAAAATGATATAGATCAGAAATGCAGGTCAATATAAAGAAATGAAGAGCATGGGAGAAGGAATAAGTGAAAATAAAATGAAACCTTTTATTTTTCTTATTCTTAGTTGATCTGACAACAGTTTATTCAACAAAATAATAGCAACAATGTATTTGGTTATGTGCTTGTGTGTCTGTGTGTGTGTGCATTTGCTAGGTATGTTTATATAAAAGGGAAATGAATGACAGTGATGATGCAAGGTACAGGAGTGGGGAGTTAAGAACATTTTGCTATTGTAAGGTATTTGCCATATCGGTGATACCCATTTGGGTGACAGATAGTATAAAGTAATAACTTGTTATTTGAAAGTGGACTTGGATTAGCTGCAAATATGTATTGCAAATTCTATGGTAACCACCAAAAATAGTTGAAAAATTATAACAGATATGTTAAGAAAGGAGAGAAAATGGAATCTCATGAAATACTCAATTAAAACCACAAGAGGCAGGAAGAGTATGAAACACAAAAACAGGAACAAAAAACAAAGGCAACAAGTAGAATACTATAGTAAATATGGCATATATTATAATAATCCAACTGTATCAATAATCACTTTAAATATCAATGGTCTAAATACACCATTTAAAACGGATTTCTGGCCAGCTGCAATGGCTCACACCTGTAATCCCAGCACTTTGGTAGGCCAGGACAGGAGGGTCGTTTGAGGCCAGGAGTTCATGACCAACCTGGGCAATATAGTAAGACCCTATCTCTACAAAAATTTTTAAAATTAGCCAGGTGTGGTGATGTGTGCCTGTAGTCCCAGCT